GATGAAGTATGGCTCGATTCTTTTTTCTTCATTTTCGCAATCATACAAAGAAATTTAAAAAATGATACTCTTAGAGATGAAACGATATAACATGGACTTTTACAAAAAATATTTCTATAAGGAAAATTAAGATTTGGAGGTTGAGAAACGCGTGAAGATCTTTGACAATTAAAATTTAAATGCAAGGATAATCAGTAATTTAAGGAGAAGTACGAAGAATATATTATGTGCAGAAGTAAATAAGATTTAGGTTAAACTACAACATCAAAGAGAAATATAGTTTTTAAATTGTAACTCTTTGTATGTTATAAAACATAATGTATTGACCAAAATGCTTTCACACACTTAAATGATTTAATATTTAAAAAAGAAAGCAAAAAAATGAGTAAAAATTGTGAAATAGTTTTTGTAAAATTTCATTAAAATCATAGAAACACTAATGTTTTTTTTTGCATTCACATAATTTTTAAAATAATACGAGGGAGAATAATCATTATATTTTTAACGTATTGTAAAATTTATATTTCTAATCATATGATTGTTAATTAACGTTTTCATACTTTTAATAACACAAGAAAAAAGAGTCAATTTTTAGTTAGTGCAAAGCGCCAAGGAGAGAAACAATCACATTAATGCATCATAGAAATTAAAATCATATATTTCCGTTAATGTAAATTAATCTTGCAGAGAAGAATCACGGTTTTTTTATATTAAAATTACAAGAACGGAACTCTAAGTTTGTTAAAAATATGCGAGGGAGAAAATAATAAAATCACCAATGTTTTTGTCGAATATTTTTTGTATTCAGGAGGTGAGAAGAATTATACATTTGTAATAATTTAGTAAACCTATATTGTGTGTGTGTGTGTGTGTGTATACATTTATATATGTGTGTGTGAGATTTAAATGATATATAACATTAAAAAAATTATGTTGTTTAAATATTTGATATTGTATAATAAAAAAGAATTTCATTCCACCCGTGCATGGCACGGGTTAAAATACTAATATATATATATGTAAAGTTGAGTTTCTTAGTTGTGGTAATGACATGTGGCATGCCACATGTGCATCCACATGTACACTAATTATGAGATGGAGGAATTTCATTGGTTCTTTAAGCTTCTTATTAAAAATCTTTTAATATATTTTACTGTATTATATTACATGAATATTATTTTTTAGCATAAATAAACATTACTTTGATTATATTTTATATAAAACTTTAACATTTTCTAACGACTCTATAAGTGTATATTAAACTATTGTAAAATATACTCAGTATTTAAACTGATTATATTTTGTATAAAACTTTAACATTTTCTAACGACTCTATAAATATATATTTCACTATTGTAAAATATACTGAGTATTTTAAACATGCATATTGATTGCAAAATTTTAAAAAGAGTATGTATAAAACTCTCAATTATTAATTTAAAAATATTTCACTTTCAAAAAATGAAAAAACATTTCACCTCCAAAGATATTAAATTGTTTTTGGTATTTTTATGTTTATTAATGTAATTTTTTTCAATAAAATAGTTATAGAATTTTTAGTGCATGCACATCAATATTTAAAGTATAGTTTTTATTTAAAAAATATACTCTGCATATCTTAGAGTGAAAAAATATTCATTTAAAATAAATAAAATTATATTTATAGAATGTCAAAAGTTTAGAATGCATACGAGCCCGTGCGAAGCACGGGGTTGACACTAGTATATTGTAATTCAACCTTTGATCTATAATTTAATGAAATGTATATTGTATATTAATTAGATAAAATAATATTTTAAATTTTTTTTATATAATAAGTATAATAAAACTATTTTTGTATCAATATCTAGTATCATTTTTATTTAGTTTTAAGGCAAAATTTACCAATTTTGATTGAAAAAAGTCAAAAGTAAACTAATACTAAAAAACAAAAGAAATACGAGTAGTATTTATTAAACATATATGAAGATTTACCATAGACACTATAAATCTTAAATCCATACAATAATTTGCCTTTTGGGACATTCTAACTTTTTTCGTTCCAAATTTATTTATTCTTCCAATAATGTCCATTGGTTGAGGGATCTGATCCGGTGCTTGAAACTAAGGTTGATGTTGTAAAAGGGGAGAAATCCGAAACTCCGGTGAATCCAAGTAATGAAGTATGCTTATATTCTACTATGCTTCATACTAGGGGTGAGCATGGTACGGTATTTAACTCGTACCGATACCGTACCAAATATTTTGGTTCGGTATGGGATTTTACGTTGTACCGATCCCGATCCCAAAACTTCGGTTTGGTATGATTCGGGATGGTTCGGTTTCGATTTCGGTATAAATTGAGAATAATACATACACTTAATTTAAACTTTAAAATGTCACAAAAAAAGAACAGCAACTAATTCATTACATATACTCTGTAATTGAAGAACACCAAATTGAAGAAAAAATACAAATGACTCTGTCCATTAAGTAATACAGTACTATGTAGTCACTTTCATTAGTTGATGTCCATTAAGTAACACTCTATAGTCACTTTCATTCGTATGACTCTGGAAGGAATTTAAAATATTAAAACTAGTGAAAGAGATAGTAATCAACTAAATATAATGAACAAATTCATAAAATTTTAAAAAATACAAATTGAATATGTTAATTTCTATTTTGAATGCCTAATTTGTGTGTATGTGCGTATGGGCCACTACATCAAGTCAGCAGTACACCATTGTCTATTAAGACGTCCGTTCGGTACATTCGGTACGGGAACTAGACAATTCCCATTCCCAAATACCAAATCGAAGATTCGGTTTGGTACGGTTCGGTTTTTGTCGGTATTTGTCGGTTCAGTTTATTTTGGTACGGTTTTTTTGGGTTTTTTCGGGAATTTTCGGTGTCGGTATGGTATCTGCTCACCCCTACTTCATACTATCATGTTGTTTTATCTATATGTGTATATTTTTTTTTTTGCTGTTTTTATATTTATTTTTTATGCTCCATAATGATCAGTGTTATAAATGTGCAGTTGTTGTTCTCATGAATTTAGATCTTTGTGTTTGCTAAATATAGGTGTAATGGTAGATATGATACAACTCTAAAATCTAAGAATGGTCATCCTAATAAGTACAAACCATTGTGAATGAGATTATACTAGCACGCTGATGTCGAAATGGATCTTGTAGGGAATGAATGGACCTGTTAGCCCTCCTATTAAGAATGCAGAACCCAAAAAACTACATGCAGTACAATTTATGTCCAGATATTCTTCTGATTTCACTAGGAAATGTGTGTTTGCATTGGAATGACCTAAGGGCTATTGTTTTATGTTTTGCTTTAATCTCCTCTTGATTTCTATTTTCTAGCTTCCTTCACGAGAAAAGGAGTTGCAGAATGCAGATTTACCTTCTCATTTACATTTCTTGCTTCATTTTGCATCCCCTGTCCTTTTATGAGACTATCATGGAAACATGATCTATTTAAGCTTATTTCTTCTCTGTGTTTTTGATAAGTAATCATATGTAAAGAAATGGTTGTAAAAGGAACTACGAAACTCACAACCATGATGCGTGGGAGAAAATAGTTTGGTTCATTCAACTCTTCATGCCCCTATAATCATTTATTGAACTTCCTGAATTCAAACAAAAACCAAACAGCATTTTCTTGGAGGCCCTGGTGCATTTTGTTATGTAGAGTAGGTGTCCATATTTTTCGACTAAAAGAAAAATAATCAAAAGAAACAATCATAGCATTCCTAGAGCACTCAAGATATTGCGCCTTGTGCCTGGATAAAAAGGCAAGGAAGGTGTGCATAATGCACTGGCTCATGTTAAGCGATGCAACTAAGTAAGCTAGTGCCCCCTAGGCACACTTGTTCAAACTAAGATTCAAGCAAAATGTTGGTATAGAATTTTTAAGGGCTAAGACCCTGACTTCAAAGGTGTGGAGAAGCAGGAAATGATTCCATTTCTTTCGGATGAAGTGATGGAAATATTCGGTTAAATTTCCCTTTTTCATAGGTGAAAATTCCATGAAGAATACGATAATCATCCCGCTGCATAAGAAACAAATCATTTCATGTTGTTTTTACATTTTTCTGTTCTTCAAAGGAAAGTAAGTAAACAGATACAACAACAATGTTAACTGTTTACAACATTTTTGCTCTTGGCTTTTATTCTTTCATATGCTTTGTGTCCGTTTTGATGGTTTACGTTGACTGTGCTTTAGTCGGGGTTATCTTGGAAACAGCCTCTCTAGTCTCTACTTTCAAGTAGGGGCAAGGTCGACCTAAACCCACCCTCCCGGACTTTAATTTTGCGGGATTTTACTGGATTTGTTGTTGTTGTACATGAAATGAACAAAGTTCATCATGTTTTTCTTAAATTATTTCTACAAGTTCAGATAGCTCCCGATACAAAAAAAATTATTGATTAAGAGTTGCAAAGTACGGAGCAACTTAAGACTTTAAGAGGGATACAAACATTTTGACTTCCAATTGAAAATCTTTTGGTCAGGCCACACCTTTTTTACCATCTCATTTTTTTCTTTTAAAGACCTCACATTTGTATTCTTAGTCACATGAATTATCTAATTTTCATTTACTCTTTGGCAGGCAAAAAACAAAGTCGATGTGACCAGTGATAAAGCAAAACGGAAAAAGGAGGTTGAGGAGAAGTTGGAGGTTTTAAATGACAAGAAACACAATTCTGTGAATCATATCATCACGAGTGATACATAAGAAAATGATCTTACCTTGAAACCATCCAACAAGAAAGGCCGCCAAAGCCACAAGAAACGCTAGATAAACAGAAGTTAGAAGTTAAATCGTACCTGAGTTAAGGTAATGAAAACATGAATGGGCAAAGAAGCAACGGGCCCTCTGGCTTTCAGACAAAATTGTGGGTTCTGATGCCATGTATCATAATCCTGGCAGCCACCAGCACTACAACCTCGCCACTGTCCATGAACAGAATAACACATATCCGGTGGATACACACGACAAACATAAATAGACCTGAAGTGTATTTGAAAATCTTGCCAAGACATCCAGAATATGCCATCTTTTGCCTGTGTTCAACATTAATCAACGAAAAGACTTGTAATCCTTGCATACAAAACAAGGTTATTTTTATTCATAAAACAGAGATAGCACACTACGCCGCAAGTACTTAATATAAATATTAAATACAACAAATAGAATCAGCTACCTGGGGGACATGTTGGAGCTTGTGTTTCATCCTGTCTGTCTATTCAGGCGATGAATCAGATCAAGGACCATTCCACTCAACCTCATTTGCCCATGGGTTTCTGATCTGAACAAGTTTATAACCATCTACTTCTCGTACCTTAAAAGACACATGCCAAGACAATGAATAAAAAATGCACAACTAATTCTTCCTTTGATGCCAAAAATAAAAAGTTCTAGTAATATATTTACTCTGTCCCATAATTAAATTCACCCTTTGCCTTCATAGAGTTTAAGAAAAGTGTTGTAAAAGTAAAGTGTGGTTGGAATTTGTTTAGAAGAGAGAAAACCATTGTGAGCAGCATATTCATTGCCTTAAAAGGAAATGAAAGAAGTGTAAAGATTATCTTGGGAGGAACGGAAAAGTAAAGGGTGAAGTTAATTTTGGGACAAAGGACGTTATTATATCTTCATGCATACGAATAACAACATATGTATGTAGGTATGTGTTACCTAAAAATTATACTCATCCTTCCTAGTGTATTCGTCTAGTTTGACTTTTATGAGTCAAACTGGATGAACTTTAATTATCAATTATTCTTAAATGGCATCGCATTTAATACACAAAAACAACAACATTACCCCAATGCCTCAACGGCTCCCGCCCATTGCGGGATGGGGGGGTCATATGTACGCAGTCTGACCCCTATGTTTAAAACATAGAGCGGCTGTTTCCAGAAGACCCATGATGAGCGTTGAAAGTTGCATTGAACAACTGCTACTACACAATTGCAAGAAGCACACACAGTTTAGAGAGGCAATTTATTTCACAAATAGTGTATTGCATTTAATCCAATAAATTAAAATTTTAAAAGTTCTATACAAGATAAATCTAATGGAATAATTTTATACAAAAATACATCACTATTTTTATTTAATTGATGCCCATAGTTTGTCGAATTTGACTCAAAAAAGTCAAACTAGACGAATACACGGGATGGAGGTAGTATTTGATATACCTGCAATATTGAGAAGGCATGGCCTTGAACAATACCATTCAAAGAAATATGCACATCTGAACCTGAAGCACTACCAGCACCAAGTAGAAAACCTTCTTGATTGAACCGTAACACTTGAGACCATAACCTTCCACTAGCAAGATCGATCTGTGCTTCAGTACTTCTCATATCAATTTCCTCACCCGCGCCCCCAGTGACATCAACAGCATCTTGGACAAGTCCACCTTCCAATGCCTCATACGAACCATGAAGCTTAGCATAAGCTTTTTCCAAGATAGAGACCCACAATTCATTTTTCTTCCTGCTGGTGGCAAATGCAGGTTTACCAGGTGACTCACAGGGAATCCAATCATCAATAATAACAGGAACCCATTCCCCCTGAATTGACAAAGCCAAAAGTGTGCAAGTAAAAAAAAAGGTAATCAAACAAGAGTTCTTCAAATGCCATACAGTAAAATGGAAAAATTGACCCAAAATTAGGCCAGAAAATAGTGAAAATCACCAGAGAAACACCAAGTGAAATATGTATATGTTTATTCACTTGCATTCCATAATTATATCAGGTGATGCCATTACGATGATGTCACCCCAATGATTTCATATGTTTGGAAAGGTCCTAGTCTCCAAGGAAGCTAGATCTTTACTTCTCTTAATAATTTTACATATATGAATGATGGCTCACCTGGATACAGAAACGAACTGTGTATATTCCTTCCTCATTGTATTCAGGTGTAATTATAACTTCCGATATTCGTGAAACCTCAGTTAAAACAGCAACTGCACTCAGAAACCAACAATCACCCAGTCGTCCCTGAAATGTTTTAGTGTCAACATTAATATGGTAATATACACACAAAAACACACAAGTGATTTGTCTCCATGGAAAGGAAATTGTAGGGGAAAGTCCAAAGAAAGACTTAAATTATCTCTGTCATAAAGGTCAACATCTGCAGGGTCGCTCTCCCAGTCATCGACCTAAATGAGAGAAAATAAGAGATCCAAATAGATCAATGACAAACAGAAATGAATGTGTAGGCGTTTTATTTGCAAAAATTGAAAAATGGGCATGTGGAAGAAATTGCTCTATACGCAATATACAATTTTCGGACAAAGAACACTGACCCTAGTTGGAGAATCTGTCCATTGAAAATTATCGTCTAATACATTGATCATATTATATACTCTGCAGTAACAATTGCACCAGGAAGAGTGGCAATCTCATCTTCAGTTAAGCACCTTCCCCAAAGAAATACATCCATTATCTGCATCTTGGATCAGCTGCTTCACTATCCGACCTCCCAAATGCGTCAAGATCAATAGGTGGTTGTATACCCACCCAGACCTCTGTTCCTTGCTCCCATACGCAACTACCATTATGCAGTGGTAGCCCTGTCTGATAGCCATCAAAATTACCATCTAGATCCCAAGATACTTCACCTAAATCAGCATCTACAGGCAATGTAACTATATGCCACCTGCAAAGTAATTTATCTTCGGATCAGGAAAATAAGAATTCAACTTCTAGCCAAGATAAGAGTACAGGAGCAATCCAACACACCGATATATTCATAAAAAACTTGAGAGATTTGGTGTTACCAGCAGCAAGCTATAAGTACTGACATGGCGTTCAAGAAGCAACCCTACAAGTAAAAGAAAACACACCTTCCATCAGCAATGTTGCTCGCACCTACACTCCACTCCTTTGAGACTGTAGTTTGTCTATCGCCCTTGGTAATTAATCTAAGTCCAACTTGTCCAGCTTCAATGCCTTGCTCAGACCCAGCAACAAGAAACTCCCAGCAATAGAAACGCTAACTCTATTACTACAACAAACACTGAGATCCACGGGTCCACAATGTCTGCCGCTGCTAGTAGGCTCATCATCAAGAATACATACAGCGCCACTAAGTCCAGTATGCAACAAAAATGAAAATAAGAAGATAAATTTAACATATCAAATCAATATGCAGAAGAG